GGACACATTAAGAGACTTATATCTTAGTTGTTAGTTTCATAATCACACTCTTTTAACCATACTTAGCATTACTCTTTGAAAATATCTCCCATTCCCATTTCCTTTAGTCAGGCTTTTTTCTTATCTTCAGAAATTCTTTTCCTCCTCATACTCAAATTCTTATTTTGTTCTCCTTTCAACACATTTCTTTTCTGCAACTATTACCATGTCACTTGCAGTACTTTTCTTGTCCCCATTATGTGTCACTCTTTCTTGATGTTTTATACAAGCTGAAATAGCAACCTTACACACTTTGTCACTGGTTTTCCAGTAAGAAGTGCCCACAGCATGGCTGGATTTTTTTGTGTTGCAAACTTCAGTATGACTTAATATGTTGCAAAAGTGAGGACACTAACAGAACACAATAATCCCAAGGTTTCAGTCTTCCAGTTCATGGTGGAATACACCTTTGCACTCAGCAGTTCCTAGTTTTTAATTTTTCTATGATCTTTCAATTCTATTAAGCTTTCTCCAGTATAATTTCAAGCAGTCATTCAAGATAGCTAATTTTGAAGGAAAAGAAAAGATGTTAAAGCCCAGATGTTAAGAGATGTGGTTTGATATAGTGTCCTCTTGAAAAATTAAGCTGAAGAATAGAGGGACAACTGAAGGGAAACATGATGGATAAAGAACTGGATTAAGAAGAGAAAGCAAAGACAATGTAAAAAGGTGTCAGGTTGAAAGTAACTTGCTAACAATGTTTCTCAACAGAGACTTTTTGCCATAATTGCATTTAACCTTTTTACCAGTGGCATTGGTTGTGTGAGGAAATTTGTTAAAAGCAGGAAGAATATAGTGTTATAGGTATAAAGGATTGATACGTCATACAAAAAGACAAGTTGACCTTGATGAGTAGAATTGCAGATGTGTGCTGAAATTCAGCAGCTCAAAATGTAATAATAATAAAAACAAGTAGTATTACAAATTTAGAATATAGAATCTTGCTTCAATCAGGATTAAAACCAGCCTTTCAATAATGTGGATGCTTTTTTTGGTGTTCAAATTGTTTATGAAAAGTGTTTTGTGATACAATGTCTGGGGGGAAAAAAAAAAAAAGCTATTTAATTTCATTCCAACACTGCAGTTTAATCCAGTGATTCAGTGATTACCCTTACTTAAATGGGTTATGTCTCAATATAAACATGAATTTCTAGAAAAAAGGATGGGTATACTTATTTAATGAGGGAATTTGTTGGTGTTTAAATGATGTGTCAGTCATGCAGCTTAGAGAACAAACACTATTGGCCAAATCCTCAGCTGATAATAAATCATCACTGAACTTAACAAGCTGTCACATATTATATCAGTATTGTCCTAAACTTTGAACTTGGTATGGCAGATTCTACATGCAAAGGTCTTTGTCCTTGCAGAATGTGAGCTGGAATGGATGAGGGGAAAAGGGATTTATACCGGATGTCAAAGTGCCTTGGGTAGTATTTCTTTCCAAGTAGCACTATGACACCATGTGTGACAAAGTGCCTCCAACTTCTCAGTATAGAAACAGATACAGATTGTTTTATATTTGGTTCTGCATGCTGAACTTGGCCTTTCACTGTCTGCCACATGAGAAGAAAAATGAAACAAGTACTGTTTATTCATGCTTAAGAGGTATTTTCCTGCTATTCTAAACAAAAAATAGATCACTGACTGCAAACACCAGCTTGTATGCTTTCTTTTTCATAGTTTGCAGAGAACAGATAAGGGACTGCTATGAAAACAGGGCTATGATCTCACTTTTATATGGTTAAAATCTCAGTCATACCTTGTTTACTGCTTAGCTTTAGCATAGTAATTTTTGTCCTAGCATTTTCTTAATCAATACGAAGATAAGGCAGCACAAGAAGATCCCCGACTCCTGTTTTTTTATGAATGATTGTACTTCTAAATATAAAATGTATCAACTGTGAGTTTTAAGTAGCATATACCTCTATGAGCATATTCACAGTTAAAGCAAATCTGCTTGTTTTGTAATTCATGGAATATGTGGTCAGCTTGAAAGACCGAACTTCCTTTTAACACATTCAGACACAAATGAATGGACCATAGTACAGTAAAATATTGGTATCATGAGGATGTGCTTTGAAGATTGTACTATGGCAATTGAGATGTGTTCTTAGAAAATTTTTGCTTAGTGGAAATTCAGTACAAAATTCTTTTTAAAGAATTTGGATGAGAAAAGCCAGCTGTTTGGATTCAGATATTTTTAGGGTAAAAAAGGTCAGAATTATTCCCACACGTAGTCCCAAAGGAGCAGGAAAAAAATAGTGAAATGGAGACAACTGTAAGATTTCCATAATATTTTTTTAGGCTATGATTTTTTTTATCTGGAGCAAGATTCCACCACAAACTAGAATAGAAGGCAACAGAGACAGAAGCAGTGAAACACACTACAACAGAGACAGTAAAAATGCAATAAAACACTCGTACCCTAGTGAAAAAGAATTTACCAGCTTTATTAAGGAAAGAAACTAAATGAAAGCAGTAGCATTCAAGAAGGTTAAGTATGTAGGTAAACTTGAACTATACGTAGGTTGCTCTGTAAATCAACTTCACTTTCATTCACCTCATGCTTTATAATTCCAGCACTGATACAATATTACTGACTTCAGTTTTCTACTATTGATAAGACTGAACAGCCATAGAGAAGTTTTCTACTATTGATAAGACTGAACAGCCATAGAGAATCACATCTCCTTGCTGACAATGGATTTCTTGCAGCTTCCTCTGGAGCACTCGGACATATCTATTGTCACAAGATACAACTGAAGATGCAGGACTTACACAGCCCAACAACGCAAATGTTGTTTCAATAAGAATAGATTTGTTGCATGAACTTCTCATGGAAGATCTTCCCTTTCCTTACCACTTTCCTTTGGAGTATGTACACAACCACTTGAGTTGTTCTGTGTGCTAGAAAGCTTCAAAGAATTACCAAAAAGGTTTTTATTTTCTTTGCCACTACTATGAGGATTGTCACAAAAGGATTGCTAGTAGAGACCATGCACCAGCAGCTTCAGTAGCATGTTATCCAATTCTACCTGAAAGCAGATGCAACAATTACAAAGCAACTCGGCCTGGCTTCTGAGCTGCCCCTTCTGCTGTCATAAAAACTAACCCAACCACACAAAACAACTTACTAAGGAAATACTAAGGAAAATGTTAATGGAGATAAAGCCTGGTTACACACAACAGTTTTTGCATGACCTTATTTAGATTAGAGTAGCTTGCTCTAGTCTTCAGAAGGTGGGACGTAATTCCTTCTGAGCTTCATATAACACTAAAATTCTCTGAATAGAAAGCGCTCATTGGATCAGCTTGATATATTTAGCCTTTGATCTCTGAAGAACAAAAAAAAACCCTTGTCACTGCATCTTGCTCAGAAGAGTCACCCTAATAATGAAGGAAACAAGTTTAAGAGCAGTGTTAGCTAAAAACTTCCCTTCAAATATGGACTGCTTTTTATTAGGAGCAGGATTCCGGGGGGAGGTTTCAGGCACGAAATTACATTTTAACTGCACACCTTTTCCTACATTCTTTGGAGGGCAATATAGTTGATTAACCAAGACGCCAAAAAATTGAATTCCAAATACCTTTGAGTGAAAAATATCTACTTTTTGGCATTGGACTTTTTAAAATATTTCCAGCAGAGTCAGTTTTTAAAAAGAATTTTTCCAAGTTTATTACCCTTTGTCTCCCCATTTTCTTCAGCATTTTTTGGTGTAGTCATACTCCTTTCCGATCAGCTGTATTCAAAAATGATGCTTACCATGATCTATTTGCATGATCTTGAGCAGGTTCCTCAGTATTCTTTTGAGATAGTTCTTTATCTACAGAAAAGGAGCAGGTTTTTTTACCTACAGTGGGCCTGTTGTGAGGTTACTGATGTAAAGTTTAATAATTTTTGTGGAGCATTTAAATTTTTTCCAAGGGGTAGCACTCAGGTAACTATTTGGGATCTTTCATTATCACCCAAACACATTATAGACAGGTATTCTGTCACTGCCAACAATGACTGCATCTGTTTTGCTTTAAAATATCACGAAGGAGACATTTTTATTTTCTAGCCAAGTGGAATGGAATAGCTTACATCCACATAGTTTAGTTCTTCTGTCTATAATAGAAATGGACACATGCACATTACATATTATTCAGGGACGTCTCTAATTTAATTTGGATTCACAGACCTATCTGCCTTCTCCCTCTATGCATAGACAATTTAGGCTTCTGCAACTGCTCCCCAAATTCCTAGATCCAATACCAGATTCCTGGCCTCCTGTATGGTGCCTGGAAGGGCACAAGCTCTAGAAATGCAAATGAGTAGTATGTGGGAAACATTAATTGCTGTAGCTAAACAGTATTAAAACTAACTCAACTACACGAAAAGACAGAAGTTTTGGAGTGCCACTGCCTTTGGCACAAAAGCCTTTCCCAACTTGATACTGGCTATGTCCCTTAGCCTCAGAACAAAATTCCAGAAACTGCTCCCTACTATCAGAGCATCAGGGGTCTTCCACTACTTCACAGAAAGATGCAAGAGATTCCTACCCTATTGCAGAGTATCTGCAGCCTCTCTTCAGCAGAAACTGCATGTCCAAAAGCTTCAAGTTCACAAAAACTTTCTCTGGCATATTTTTAATATGTTAAAAGGATCAGTTTCTCAGATGATGTGGATTTTGAGTTCTCAGTAAAAAAGCTTTTTGTTACAAGTGTTACATTTCCAGATGAAGGCAACTAAATAATTTCCTACATTGAAGTCACAAGGATAATGCCTGGCAGCTTCGTGATCACTAAGAAAAGAGGAACAGGATTGGATATTGGGAAAGCATGTTTTAGTTGTGCTCCATAATTTTTAGCACTTTATGAGAGCCACAGAACAATGAATAGCTTCTACAGAAAGAAAGTAGCTGTGCATATTCCCTGATCTTACATCCCAATGGCTGATTGGTTCCAGTTAGACTCACCTGTTGATCTCATACCAGTGATGGTGAGCACCACAAGCATACACACAGTCTTCCCAGAAATCTTCATGTTGGTTCCTGCTTTCACGCTCTAGGCAGCTCCATCACTCCATCCATCCCGACACCAACCTAACTGTGGTCATGGGGAGCATTTATTGCCTGCCAGTGCATCCTCAGCAGCCAGTGTCAGTGTTTCCTCTCTCCCTTTCCAGCTCCTGTCTTCTAGCTGTGCATGCTCTTGATCAACTGGCTCCTCAAAGCTGGAGAGGTTCCTCGTTCTGACTTTTCAGAGCACTAGGCTTCCTGTGCTGAGAGCCTGGGCGAACACTGAGGAAACAGACTGAGCAGTTCTGCCTTCCGTTCATTGGCTCTCCTCGGGAGGATGATAAGTGAAGATAAACCCTGCAGCAGAGTTCAGAAAGGGTAAAAGCAGAGGAGATTATGCAAGGCTGAGTTTAATATCAAAAAGGAAATGTTAGTCTTGGGAAGCTAGAGAGAAATTTATCCTTCATGTTTGTCATTTTTGTTACTACTACTACTTCTTTGGCACTTCTTTGGTACTACTTCCAAGCCAGTTCTTCCTCGTGTCTTCCTCAAGAGAAAAAAAAAAAAGGTAAAAAAAAAAGAAAAAAGCAGTCTCAAATCATTTCTGTAAGTGACATTTTTAATTATTTCTTTCTTAAGTAGCTACTTAGCTACTGGCAGCACAGCTCTCATCTTGAACAACAAGTCTATCCGACCCTGAGAACAGAAACTGAGTTTTGAGGGAAAAGAAAAGCCTATTTTAAATTCTACTCAACAGAAATGATACAGAAACTGAACCTGGCCTACATCTTTCACTTAAAAATCTGTTTGTTCTGGAATTTTTTTCAGAATACTCTTGTGTGGGTAGTTTTAAAATAATACTGTACCTGTTTCTCCACTTCCTCACTGATCTACTAATTTCAGATTCAGAGTTCCGTCTCCTTTTTTAAGCCACAGCATTTCCCCAGCACAGTTCTATGAGTCAAGTAGACAAAAGGCCTCAGCTTTCTGTCTTGTTTGAAAGCTAGGAGTCAGAGTAATTATCACTGAGGACAGAGACATAAGAGGTAAAGACAGAAAACAGATCTAAGTTGGCAGGAAATGAACTGCTCAGGCACTAGGACTGCACTCCATGTTTGAACTCTACTGATGACTGCAGTCTGATGTTCTGATAATTTTGTTTGATCAGACTGGTGTTCCAAATTTGTCTGCATTGATGTTCACTGGAACACAGGAGTGTGAGTTAAGGTCTTATGTAAATAAATAAAAAAAGACTGATAATGATCACGTAAAGAAAATAATGTAAGACACAAATTCATCTGGATCATCTTGGTCTCAGGATTATCTCATTGGCTGTAGTTTTTTGTGGGAGGGTGTTCTGTGTATTTTCCCCTTTGATTTTTTAAATACAATATCACATTTTGACACTCCTCCACACTGTTCTGAGGTTTTCAATGTGCTATTCTCAATAACACTGGTTTGTTTTCTGAGTATTTATCACTGACCTGGGAATGAGTAATGCGTGTGAATAGATATCATAGCTATATTTTAGACAAGGGCATGGAGAGGAAGAAGAGGTCTTTATGTAAGTAGAGATTAAGATACAAGGTTGGAGAGAGAACATGCAATCAGTATCAGGCCTCAAAAGGTAAAAGAAGTGGTGCTCAAATTTGATTCAAAGACAAGAAGAAACTAAGGTGGTATAAATGTGCAGACATAGTGTATTGGATACAAGATTTCTGCATAACTATAAAAGTTTAAATATTCAGTGGGATAGGGGAGATTTTGGAAGAGAACAAACTCTCTTTTAAATAAGAAAAGTCCTACTTTAAATTGCCATCATGAAAGATCTTTGCTACAGGAAATTCATGCAGAACCACAATTTAGACAGATGGATTCTTTTGGTAGGAAAATATTATTTAAGATGTCATTAGGACTCTTTTGGAGCAACTTCTGGTTGAAGGCAGCAGAACTTGGGAAGTGAGATATGAGAAGTCTGCGGCAGGACATGACAGGAAGCATAAGTTTACCACAAGAAGTGATGAGCGCTTTATGTCTTAATCACAGGAGCCTGTTCTCTAACTTGTACAATGAGAGCCAGGATCCCACGACATAGAATTCATAGGATCCTAGAATGGTTTGGGTTGGAAAGAACCTTCAAGATCATCTCGTTCCAACCCTCCTGCCACAGGCAGGGATATCTTCCACCAGAGCAGGTTGCTCAGGGTCCCATCCAACCTGTCCTTGAACACAGGCAGAGATGGGGCATCCACAACTTCTCTGGGCAACCTGTTCCAGTGTCTCACCAATCTCACAGTAAATAATTTCTCTCTTATATCTAAATAAATCTAAATAAATACCCTCTTTCAGTTTAAAGCCGTTCCCTCTTGTCCTACCACTGCATTTCCTTGCAAGCTCCCTCTCATCTCTCTTGCTGGCCCCCTTAAGGTACTGGGGGGCTGCTATAAGAACTCGCGAGAGCCTTCTCTTTTCCAGGCTGAGTAACCCCAACTCTCTCAGCTTGTCTTTATAGTACTGGGGCTCCAGCCCTCTGATCATCTTTATGGCCCTCCTCTGGACTCGGTCCAGCAAGTCCATGGCCTTCTTATGTTGGGGACACCAGAACTGGACGCAGTTCTCCTTGTGGGGTCTCACCAGAGCAGAACAGAGGGGGAGAATTACCTCCCTCGACCTGCTGGCCACACTGCTTTTGATGCAGCCCAGGATGTGTTTGGCTTTCCAGGCTGTGAGTGAACATTCGTGGGTCCTGTTGAGCTTCTCACTCACCAATACCCCCAAGTCTTTCTCCTCAGGGCTGTTATAGATTCATTTTCCAACCAACCTGTATTTGTGCTTGGAATTGCCCTGAACCAGGTGTGGGACCTTGCACTTGGCCTTATTGAACTTCATGAGATTTGTACAGGCCCAGCTCTCAAGCTTGTCAAAGTCTCTCTGGATGGCACCCCTTCCCCCCAGCATGTTGAACACACCACACAGGTTGGTGTTGTTGACAAATTTGCTGAGAGTGCACTCAGTCCCTCTGTCCATGTCACCAACAAAGACGTTGAACAGCACCAATCCCAATATCAGCCCCTGAGGAACACCACTCATTTCTGCTCTCCACTTGGACATTGAGCCACTGGTCACAACTGTTTGAGTGTGACCATCCAGCTAAATCCTTATCCATCATGTAGTCTGGGCCTCTCCAATTTAGAGACAACGATGTTGTGTGGGACAGTGTCCCATGCTTTGTACAAGTCCACATAGATGACATCAGTTGCTCTTCCATCATCCACCACTGCTGTAACATTGTTGTAGAAAGCCACCAAATTTTTCAGGCACGTAGTGAAGCCATTTTGGCTGTCACCAGTCACCTCTTTATTTTTCGTTTGCCTTGGCGTAATTTCTGGGGGCGTCTGCTCCATGATCTCACAGAGATGACACTGAGCAGTCTGTAGATCCCCAGGTCTTCATTTCCCTTTTTAAAAGTGGGGATTATGCTTCCTCTTTTCACTCAGTGGGAACTTTACTAGACTGCCATGACTGGTCCTGAGAAAGGCCAGAGTGGGACAGAGGACAACCCAGATGGAGAAATAATGCATGTAGAGGAGTGAAAGTTGTCAGGGTTTGCTAGCTGCATCAATTAGAAACCTAGTGTGCAGCTGATGGAAAGGAGGAAAAGTGGAAAGAAAACAGATTGTGATTGCTGAAGCCTGAGCATAGTTGAGGATGAAGACATGGTCAACAACAGGCAACTAAGGATACACTTTCAGTAAGTTTCCATTTCCACACAACAATAGAGAAAGTCAAGCACTCTTTGTTAAAGGTGCTATGCAGAACCATCACAGCCTTCCTGGAGACTGCACTTTCCCTGTCTTCTGAGTTCTGAGAGCACAGATCTAGACTCTGCCTGTGGTTTTCAGTGTGGGTTAATGCAGAACTATTTTATGTTAATTATCATAATGTCATCAGATATTATTTGACAGCCCTTGTGATCTGCTCTGTTTGAAGTGGTTTTACTCAGCTTAAAGTCCTTGCTGACAGCAGATTCCATGCTAATAACTCATTCAGCAAGAAGTGTAGGAGCTGTAAAGCTGAATTTTAATCAGCAAGGTGCAGACAAAAATTAAATTCATTCCAGGAACTTCAATTCCAATGGTGACAGGAATATGAGAGTGCTGGGACCCCATCTGGTATAAACTTAAGCTGGCCTGGTTTTGTTGAGTTCACGTGAAGCTACCATGACTTTCTCCATGAAAGAATTCTCCCTGCTGTCTCTTTCTGTGTCAGCTGAAGATCCTAAAGGTACAGATAGCTCAACAGGCTGCAGACAAATGAGTAAATCCAATTATCTCTGAAGCTGGAAATGGTTCTGAGAAAAAAAGTAAATCAGGTTTTTCTGTGTACCGACAGATCTGTTTTTCTCACTAAGTACTCACCCCATGAAATACAATGGTTTTGTGTGGCAATTTGGCAAAGAAGCAAAATTAGGCTGGATTGCATTATACAATGGCCTTGTTCAATGTATAGAGCATTAAAACCAATGTAATTCTCTCAGAGATAGCAGTGTGTGTTACACTTGTCCCTGAATTTCCTGCCTTTCAATGATCTGTCTTAGAACCTAGAACTTGTTATAATGATGAAAAAATAATTTTTTACTTGCATACTCAGTAACAAAAGACATTAATTTTGTAAATGGAGATATGAGAAAGAGAAAACAGAAGTATTGGATAGCATCAGTTCTTGTGTGGGCAGATGCAAAAGTTCTATATCTACTTAGCTGATATCTATATTCTATATCTACTTAGCACTTTGCTCTGACTGGCTGTTCCTCCAGCTGTTCCAGTCCTTGACTCTAACAGAGTTCATCCCCTCTACCTGGAGCATGATTGACAGGTCTGCCTCAAATTTGATTGTCTCAGTGTGTGCAATTTCAGACTGTACTTTAAGCCTTTGCTTTCAGCACACCATGAAAGCCACTGTGCAGTGGTCATTCCTTGCCCATAGATCCCACCACATGGTAAGCCCTCTAGTAGAATGGCATCATGCAGAAGCCTGGCTATGGAGATATAATTTATAGACTTTGTGACAGCAAAGTGGCATAATATGCTTATAAAGCAGCTTCCTGGTTGTTCTGTGGTTGGATGTTGTTTATTCCTGGAAACACCCACACGCCTGAAAGTCCTAACGAGAATAAAGTTTCTTTTACACTGGAGGGTAGGTGAGGTTGAGGTGAAGCCCACACTACCAGAGTCCTTCTCCCTTTAAGGAAGTTTGCATTTAATAGCAAGACTGAAACTAGGAGACCTGACTTTGAGTTCAGAGCTGTTGTGCGCACTTTATACACATGTATAGGTAAATAAAATACTATGTTTCAAAGTACTCCTGGGGTGCTGAATGTAGGAGTTAAATGGGCTAGTCTGCAGCCTAGTCTGAAATTCTGCTTCCCATCACTCCCTGGAGTCCTGTCCTAATAGCTTCTGGAGGCCATGTCCATGCTGTGCAGATGCTGACAGTGCAGAGCTCCATGAGCTGGCTGTGAGCTGGCTTCAAAAATAGATGTTGTGGAGTCAAGTCAGCACATCAGTGCACGTAGCCAGGACACAGAACCTTGATCATGCAACTAATTGCTACCCAGTGGAGAGAAATGAGTCCCCAGTGCCATGCAATGAGCTATCAGCTTACTTGGAGCCAGTAGGATCACTGACATACACCAAATGCACACAGCTCCTGCTGGTATGAAATGTTGTGGCTCTCTTAAAATTAGCATTAAGAGCATTAAAATGCATGATGTTCACCTGCCCCAAACACCTGCACAGATTGCAAGGCCTGGGAGCTTCATCTTGTGATTATGTTGTGGTTGTGTTTTAGCCTACCTCCCAACAAGGCTCCCCTTGAACCCTGCTCCAGATTGGATAGGGAAGACTGGGTTTAGTTGCAAAAGAGCACTGAGAGCAGATGACTGAAAAGTGGGGAGGAAGTGAGTCAGAGGACCAGACGAACTGAGATAGTTGTTTCATGAGAGGAAAGGAGCAGGAACGTCCAGATAAATCCTAACTCCCCTCTCTGCTGGAGGTCCAAAGCACTGGAGTTAACACCACTTTTCTTTGCTCATGAGATTGCACAGAAATGAGGAATTGTTAAGGCTCTGCTTGAATTATAGGAAGAAGATGTTTCACTTCTCTGATTCCTTAAAACACGGAAATACTTGGCTTGAGGAATGAACAAGATATCTGCACTTGAAAGCAAAGCCTAAGGTTATTTTTTTCCCAAGGAGATGCTTCCTAGCAGTCTCCCAGGACAGGCAGGCTAAGGATATGAAGGAGGACACCACTGGCAGCACCTAATGATGTGGCCTGGAAATCTGCTAGCTCAGCTAGTTTGGGATTAACCTTGGCACTGGTCTGCACGTCATGCTGTGTCTATTATCCCCAGTGTGTCTGCACAGAACACTAAGATTGTATGTGATATGTCCTCCATTATTTCACATGGCTGGACTAAGAAACCATGAGAAATCTGTGCGACATTCTTCTCTGACATAAGTCAATGGAAATTAGTGAAAAGAAACTGGTGTATGGAGATATCTGCAGGGTGTAGGGGCATTTATTTCATTTTCTGCAACAGATGCTACCTGTGTAAGCAGAAGCAGGAGATTCTTCTGTCTGATTTGGTGGTTTGGACAGTTATTTCTGTCTTATTTTGCAATAAGGCTGAGAGAAGATAATTCTAGTAGAAAGGACATTTCCATTTCTATTGAAGAAATTCAAGTCCAGCATCAGATAATTCACAGAAAGGTAGAAGACACTTTCTAATCTTCTGGACTTAGGTATTGGTTTAAATGACAGCATATAAAGCTTAATATTTGTTTCAGTACTGTGCCTGCATTGTTCTAATTTCCACTGTCTCCACAACTCATGATTATCTCTTTCATGGAGACTTGCTTGTTTTCTTATTTCAGCAATATATGGTGATAAAGATGTACATGGCCCATTTAGGCAGTGAATGGAAAGTTACTTCCTTTTCTTGCCTTGAGGTTGATATGAGATGTGGTGAGGTAAGTCCACCACAGTTGTGTTAGGCATAAAATAGTTCAGTTACAGTTGGTTTAATTAAGATATGCAAATCCAAAAGAATCTCTAGTATAACTCCAGAAAGTCCGTTTATTCATCAAGCCTTTATATTTCCTGATAGTCTCAATTATTTT